CCACATGATTGTTAGATTGTTTCATTATACCTGTCACTTTTGATTCCATACTTTGGGGTTTTCTTGCTATGTCTATCACTACAATGTTCTGAAGTGATGTGACTCGCAGGAATTTGGTAATGTTGAGTCGCCGATGTACTCTAGACTCCGCCATTTTTTTGTGACTATTTATAGCAGGTGTGTCCTACATTTTTTTTATGCAATCCTCTTTCTCTTAGTTAATTGCATAGATTTCTTTATTCAATCTGCATGTTCAATTACTTAAATACAAGTGAGCACATTTGAGATACTTTTCCTCTTTTCAGTTTAAAAGTACAGAAGAAACTGCACTGCCTTCGTTATCATGTGGCATGATTCCTTTGAATCTTTGATGGCAGGTATAGCTGATATGTGATTGTGTTTCTTCTTAGGATGCAGGTGAAACCATCTTCACAGCCCGTGGTTTTGTCTATACCAATCTGCCATTATGATGGTGAGTTGCTACCCTAGAGTTATAACTTGGATTAGTTGCACAATTCTCGTTGTCTTGTTATTCTTCACAAAGTATTGTCTTCATCCATCTAATGTGCTATTATTTTTTTGTAATTTTTATTCTAGATACTGAATCTGCTAAAGCATCGAGAAGGCAGCTCAAAGAAGCCATATACAAAGTACTTTTTGACATGAATGTCCCTGCTGTCTGTGCCATTAATCAGGTACACTGTTCCCCATCCCCTCCATAATAATATATATGTTGCCCATAAACCATAGGGAAGAACAGACCAAATGCATTGCAATTGTGCAAAGTTGTCATGTCATCTGGAACTGCATCTCTCAGTGTATAAATGGGTTAATTGAGTCTAGGTCCAGTATTCATTGTCTGCTTTTGAAACTGCAGGCAACTTTAGCTTTGTATGCAGCAAGACAGACTTCAGGAATTGTTGTAAACATTGGTTTCCAGGTCACTTCTATTGTTCCAAGTAAGCCATTCTACGTTTCATCTTCCTTGTGATTTCAGATTTATTAACTACTGAAAAGATCTCAGGTCATACTTGATACTTTCGTAGGGAATGTGCATAGTTTCTCTTTTACAATTGTGTTGTAATTTTTTTTTTCTTCACAATTAATCAAATGTCGGGTTACATCTCAGATTAGCTGCCATTCTGTGACTTGTAGTTCTAGGCACACTTTTTACTTTTTGTTCTTTAGATATTCTCTAGAAAAATTTGTTCCACTGTACTTTTCCGTTCCAGACTTCCAGTACATATTTATATCCTTATTTCTGGTGATCTTTGTTTTCTTCATTTTTGGTTGCTTGGACTGTTGAAATTTTTTACGTAAGTGTTACTATTGTGTTTACAGTTTTAAATGGTAAAGTTATGCGCAAGGTGGGTGTGGAGGTTATGGGATTGGGAGCACTGAAGCTTACAGGGTTCCTTAGGGAGCTATTGCAGCAGAACAATATCAATTTTGACTCACTGTACACTGTTCGGACTGTGAAAGAGGTATAGCTTGGATTTTTATCGTTATAGAATCCTATCCGTGAGTGTTAATGTGACCAGTAGAACGCCACAGTTTGTTTAAAGAGGGCTTTTTCTAGTTCTAGCTTTTGTTCTTTCTTCTCATGTCATAGTTGTTTGGAAATTTATTGGTGGAATGATAAATAGGAAGTTACCAAGTGAGCTCGACAACATGGGGTAAGAGGTTCAGTTTGCCCCATGCTTTACTGGTTGAAGGATTGGATTGTGGAAACTTAAAAAAGATGCGTATTCGTTAGTATGGTAAATCACGAAAGAAAGAATTTTCAATTTCACGTCTTATTGGTTGACTTCTATTCAGAAACTATGTTATGTTGCTGAGGATTATGAAGCTGAGCTATCAAAAAATACACAAGCATCATTTGGAGCTGGTGGAGAAGGCTGGTTTACTATTTCGAAAGAGCGGTTTCAAACAGGAGAGATCTTATTCCAGCCAAAGCTTGCAGGAGTGTAAGCACCACTCAAAATTTTTAGATTTATTGCTCTCTGTTTTTCTCTCCTGGTCTCCCTTTCCCATTTTGAGAACCAGTAAATTCTCTAGCACCCATTTCCTAAACAAGTATCGACTCTGTGCCGTGTTCATCAAATTGATGCCTATGGTTGGTTCAGGTCTGATCTCGAGCATGTCTTGTAAAATTGCTAATCATGTTCTCTCCAAATTTTACTGGTTAGATTATTCGGAAAACGGAATTTCAATGGGAAATTTTATTTGGAACTTATAATCTCATATTTCATATAGGCGTACTATGGGTTTGCACCAGGCTGTCGCTCTTTGCATGGAACATTGCCATTCGGCAGAACTAACAGGAGACGATGCTTGGTTCAAGACAGTAGTTTTGTCAGGTGGCACCGCATGTTTACCAGGACTCGCAGGTATCATTCAATTACGAGTAAAATTTCCATGTATTTTTTGATAAATAATGGATATGAATTGGGAATCTTACTAACCTTCTGGGCCAACAAAGTTTATCATCTTTCTGTCAATATATATATTTATATATTCAGGAAGGTTAGAGAAGGAATTACACGGACTTCTCCCTCCATCTGTGTCTAATGGAATCACGGTCATTCCCCCTCCATATGGTGCAGATACAGCATGGTTTGGGGCCAAGATGATCTGCAATGTAAGCTCTGTCATTATCTGTGTCGAAGTGTTATGACTTACGACTCGAACATACAACATTACATACATTGACATTGCAAAACATCTTTAAAAAACACTTATTTGAAGAACATATTTATTTCTTGGACTATATATAAGCATTCCTTTACAACTTCGTATTGCACGTCATCCATACAATTTTAGAACAATATCAGATATCCGGCTTTCTCCAAGAGTTTCACGTTTTGCTTGCTGTAATTTACCTGGAAATACTGCAGCTGAGCACCTTCCCCGGCCCTTGGTGCATGACAAAGAAGCAGTTCCGGCAGAAGTCCAAAATCAAGCTTATGTGGTGAAAAATAATCTGGTTTGTATTGGAGCACTGCCGTAGCCTGTATGTGATATGATGTTGGATCAAACAGCACTGCCGGAGCCTGTATGTGATTCGAGCAGAGAGTTTCTTTTCAAGAACACGTCGAAATCGGAATTATTTATTTGTAACTATAATCGTCCTTGAATAAGAAGAATTCTACGATGTATGTATAATCTTACGATAGCTTTTATAAATAAAGCAAGTTCATATTTCACGTTGAAGGAATGGAATGTTTTATCTGGACCACACGGTAAGGTAAGAATCTGTTTAATTTCGTTGTACGATAAACAATGTAACATGTAACAGGAATCGAACGCAAGCAGCACATAAAAACTACTAGGGAAGGCCTAAGGATATGCTTTCATTCGTACTTGAAGTAAGAATGTATACCAAAAACAAGTTCGAAGAAAGAATGAATGGATGGAGTAGCATGGTGGAAAGGGATTCCGTAGACCTGCAAATAAAGGAACTTGAAATTGTTATGATATAAAGCAAAAGAAAGTGCAAGTTATTCTTCCTTCAATTTTCAGTCCGGATTTGTTAGCGAGCCGTCTCTCATCTCTCTACTTCCCTACTTTCATTCCATGTAAGTTTTTTACTATGAAAAATCTGAGGGCTTATTTGAAAGTGCTTTGAAAAAAACCAAAAAGCACTTTTGATGAGAGAGCTTAACCAATTCTTATATGCCAAATGCCCAAACTGTCTTTAAACATTCTTTAAGCACTCTTTCATTACTTTCTACTGCAGCTGAGCAGGTGTTTCTCCATCTTCAAGAACAACAAATCTCGTGTGAATTTTCCTTTAAAGGTATTGTCTTTTACTCCTCATCCAAATCTGCATGTCCTTAATATGAATCCATATCAGGAAAATTTGCATTTCTATCATGTGATTATAATCCCACGAACCATGCTCAGGACATGTCTCTGAGCTTGTGGCTGTGACATAAACCATAATGTTCGATTCAGTAAATACTGAAAGCTTTGAGAAAAATCAGTGAAACGAGAAATTTCTCTTAACGAGTTTCATTTTTTGCAGTTTGACGGTTGACATTGCTCAAGCTTCCCTGTAACATTTGTTTACTCGTTCTTGGATTGGTTGCTTCACTTCCTTCTTTCAATCTCGATACCTTCCTTTCTCCTGAAGAAGCTGTGAATACAATACAAATAGATGGAGTAGTATGGTGGAAAGGGATTCCGTAGACTGCAAGAAAGGAAGTAGAAAATTGTTATGATATAAAGCAAAAGAAGGTGCAAGTTATTCTTCAATATCAGTCCGGATTTGTTAGCGAGCCATCTCTCGTCTCTCTACTTCCATACCATGTAAGTGCTTTTTTGCCATGGGTAATCTATTTCATTTTATATAATTTACAATTTGAAATAGTAGGGATGAATTCTTGCTTATTCAAATTTGCATGGATAATATTTAGGCTATGAGTTGCATTTTTTTTTTTTTTACTATTGGAAAATATCCAAAAATCGATTGACTTATATGATAATGAAAAGTTCTGTTTCAACCACTTTTACGGGCTCATTGGAAGTGCTTTTGGCATAATTAGTGCTTATTAGTTATTATACGAGTAAAAACATTTTGTTTGAAAAAAATTGGAAATACGTTAGTTGAATATAGGAAACACTTGAAATGGGGGTTTCAACAACATAAAGAAGTTGGAATTGGTTGTATAGGAATCACTTAGAAACGCTTTTTGCTAGAAGTGTGTTTATAGAGACATTAACGTTGAATTCATATAAAAAAAAATCCAAGTGCTTATTGAAAAAGTACTTGAAAGTGCTTCTTGAAGAAGCATCTATCAAGTGTTTATCCAAAAAGCACTTCTATGATCCAAAAACACTTTTTAACTCTTATTCCAAAAGAAGCCAAAGGCTCATCATTGAGGGTTTTATTTTTTATTTTTTATTTTTTAGTTGAAAGATAGGAAATTTATTAAACTTAAAAACGAATAAGTTACATTTGCATTTTTTGCTAAAATATTAAAAGGGAACTCTAGTCATTACCCATTCCAACCAAATCTCCCGTCATGCTTATTGACGTATGCTGCTACCGAGTGGGCTGCACGATTGCATTGACGAGGGGTAAAGCAAAACCTCACCAACTGGAATAAGCTAGCCATCCTCCAAATATCTTGGGGATAAGTCTCAAGAGTCACATCGACCGTGATCTCATTATTTAGTATCTGAATCAATCCCTTGGAATCCGATTCCACCACCAATCTAGTACTGGCCTCCATAACATCGCTCCCCACAACCGTCTCCAAACCTTGCCTAATCGTCTCCACCTCTGCCATATTCGCAGCCCCAAACCGCCCCTCTCCTACCCTTCCCTTAAGCTTTGGGATCCCAGCAAAATCCTGAAGCACCCACCCTACCTCTCCCTCCTTCGTGTCTTTTCTCCATGCCGCATCACAATTCAATTTTAGCTCCCCAAATGAAGGTTTCTGCCATTGCCCCGCACCCTCCTCGAGCCCCACCCCTGGACATTTCCCTTCCCCAGACAACCTAGAATCCCTTTGATCCCCTCCATCCCCCATCGTATCAATCATAGCATCCCTAAACTCCTCCACATGCCGCTGCCATAATTCCACAGCCACATGCGGTAGAATCCACACCCCCTGGAAAACCACCTCATTCCTGCATTTCCAAATACGCCAAAGCCCAAAAACCATCTGCTGCAATATCAACTCGGCATCCTCCTCCTTCTCCAAGTGCTTCACGATTCGCTGCCAACCCTCCAAAAAATCATTGACCCCCATACCTGCCATATTAATTTGCAACGACATCCCAAACCAAAATGCACGGCTAAACTCACAATCAAAGAAGAGATGAGCCTCAGTTTCATCACTCGCTCCGCAAAGTTCACACCAATTCACTACTCGGATCCGCCGACGCTCCAAATTGTGCCTCACCGCCAAAGCTTTTCTACTAGCCTTCCAAAGAAAAAACCAGAGTTTATTCGGGACTGCAAGAGTCTATATCCTTTTCCACATCCCTCACAATGCACCTGGTGAACTTGACATCCCGCTCCCCTTCCTCCCAAACTCGCCATTTTTCATCATCTCCATCTCAACATGGTACCCGGACCTCACCAAATACAACGCATTCTTAGTATAATGCCATATTCGTTTATCCTCACACCCACTTCAACTAATCGGTATAGTTCGAACCAATTCCAAATCCTCCGGGTCCACCATAGTCGCAATCTCCTCCATTTTCCACCCATGCCTATCCGCCGTCATCAACTCACACACCTTAAATTGGGAGCCCCCTGTGAGATCCTACATCGTCCAGGGAGTGGATCCTTTATGCCTTATATGTACATGCTCCACTCCCTATAGCACGAGGCCTTTTGGGAGCTCACTGGCTTCGAGTTCTGTAGGAACTCCGAAGTTAAGCTAGTTCGCGTGAGAGCAATCCCACGATAGATGACCTACTAGGAAGTTCTCGTGTGAGTTCCTAGAAACAAAACCGTGAGGGCATGGTGGGGCTCAAAGCGAATAACATTGTGCTATAGTCGAGTCGAGCCCGGGATATGGTGGGGTTCGGGCCAGGATGTGACAATTTGGTATCAGAGCCAATCCCTAGCTAGAAGTGTGCCGACGAGGACGTCGGGCCCCTAAGGGGAGTGGATTGTGAGATCCCACATCGCCCAAGGAGTGGATCCTCTGTGCCTTATATGTACATGTTCCCCTCCCTATAGCACGAGGCGTTTTGGGAGCTCACTGGCTTCGAGTTCCGTAGGAACTCCGAAGTTAAGCGAGTTCGCGCGAGAGCAATCTCACTATGGGTGACCTACTGGGAAGTTTCGTGTGAGTTCCCAAAAACAAAACCGTAAGGGCATGGTTAGGGCCCAAAGTGGACAATATCGTGCTACGGTGGAGTTGAGCCTGAGATGTGGTGGGGCTCGGGCCGGGATGTGACAGCCCCCTTCCTCAACACCGGTTTAAATGAATGAGGCTTACGAAGCCAAATATCAGCCACCTTGACCGTGTCCCCGTTCCCCACCCTCCACCAGAGTCCACGGTGTAGAATTTGCCTCCTAAAAAAAATGCTTTTCCACCCCCACGACGATTTATTTTGTTTCCTCGCCTCCAGGAAGTATGTGTTTGGAAAATATTTATCCCGAAGCACCATGCTAAGCATCAAGTCCTATTTCTGTAGCACTCTCCAACTGATTTTAGCCAGCATAGCCAAATTAAACCCAATCCTCCAAGTTTGACAGCAGATGTCAAATTTATTAAATGATTTTTTAATAGATTAATATAATATATAATAAATGTTGTGTTTTTTATGTATTTGATTGGTTGCTTCAATTATTGGACACCACAAAAAGATAACTTTTTTTATTAAACGACATTACTATTTAACATATGGGATGAAGCAAAATATTGTACAAAATGTCAAATTACCACATAAGCCATTAAATATCATTTTGATGTTTAAAATTTGGCAACTCATTTGGAGATACTCTTAAGTGCTTGATTTAAGGGCTTGAATTACGTCCTCAAGCTGCAGGGACTCGTTTTCAAATATTAAAGTTGTTCAAAAGTGCTTAAAAGACGAGGTTAGATACTTTAACAAGATGATAGCTATATCATCGTCTTTGTAAGTTTCTTCGACCTTTTGAAAATTTGCTAAGCAATTATGGAACCTGCATACATGATCTTCAATATCACCTCATTCTTCCAGACAAAGACCGAATAGTTCAGTCTTGAGAAACAGTTTATTAGACACGGTTCTGCCCATATAAACCTTCTCCAACTTGTCCTATTCTTCCTTAATAGTCATCTTTTCTATAACGTAGGACCTGACTGATTTCGTGAGATGAATCTCGATGGAACTCTTGGCCTTCTTGAGAATATTGGTCCACGTTGTTTCTGTCAAGGTTGTAGGCTTCTCACCAAGGAGTGCATCATCCAAATCCTGAGGTATCAATACATTCTTCATCATCCTTTGCCAATCCGTGAAGTCATCCTTGCCGTCAAAATGTTTTAACGCAGGCCTTAAGCTTCCTAAGCCTGCTACCTTCATTCATCTTGTCATCGCAAAACACCTTGACCCAAGCTCTTGATACCAATTGTAAAATTTCAGCTGCCCTCTAGATTATGTTCTTTGATGTATTTGTCAGTAGACTAAACTCAACAAATAGAGAACAACTAGAAACACAAAATATTTGTACTGGTTCAGCAGAACTTTTCCCTACGCCTAGTTGTGATTTTTCTAGATAGAGAAATCACGACTTATTTAATTAATAATAGATTATACAATACTTTTGCAAACCATAGAACTAATCTCATTCCCTCTCTTCTCTTGTTTGTCTCAATTTTTCTAATTTTGGCTGCACCCTATTTGTAAGTACAAGGTGCTGTTTACATGCCTATCTTTCGATTAAGTCTCTTAATCTATTTGTAATAGGAAAGCACACTGCATTCATATTCTTGATTCTTTACTAATCTTTGTAAGACAATAATTTGTGCATCTTTAGCTTTTCTAATACAATCCTAAACAAAATAGAACTCTAAACTGACGAGCAACATCCTAACAAGCTTTACAAAGTGTGTTTCAAGACATGGGTGTCCCCTGATTCTAACTCTATGTATAACGAATCATGTTTCATAAACCATCTTGTTATGATTTCAATGGAAGTTGGTAAGGAATGGCTGGCTCTTATTTTTGGCAAAAAAAAGTGTTACAAATTTATGTGCAAAAACAAAAGAACATCTTACTCAAACAATCACGAACCAATTTGATTACTATGTTCAGGACATATCTCTGAGCTTGTAACTAGGACATAAATCATAATTTTTTATTCAGTAAATACTAAAAGCTTTGAGAAAATGCGGTGAGACAACAAAACTAGATTTTGTGTAACTTTTTCTTAATGAGTTTCACTTTTTGCAGTTTGACAGTTGACATTGCTCAAGCTTCCCCATAACATTTGCTTGCTTGTTCTTGGATTGGTTGCTTCACTTCACTCTTTCAATCTTGATACCTTCATTTCTCCTGAAGAAGCTGTTAATATACACTATCCTGAAGAAGTTCTTATAAGCTATGTCGCTGGGAGAGGTCTTTATTTCTGGATTACTTCAAGTGTTACTTGAAAGGTTGACATCTCATGAGACGCTGAGCTACTTTAGACGCCTACTTGGCGTTGGCAAAGAGCCGAAGAAATGGAAGTCAATGTTGTGTACTATTCGAGCAGTGCTGAATGATGCGGAGGAGAAGCAATTGACTGACCAAACAGTGAAATTGTGGCTAGATGATCTCACAAACTTGGCCTATGATGTGGAAGACATATTGGACAAGTTTTCAATCGAGATGTTGCGACGCCAAATAAAGGAGAAACATGGGGCTACCACAAGCAAGGTATGGGGTTTGTTTTCTGATGTTAAATTTAACTGTAACCTGAGCTCAGAAATAAAGAAGATTACTGATCAGTTAGATGAGATATTGGAACGAAAAAAAGGACTTGGTTTAAATGAGGGGATGCCATCTACTAAGGCATGGCACATGCCGCCAAGTTCCCACCTGCCAGAAGGACATGTGATTGGAAGGGATACAGACAAGACGAAGATTATTGACTTCTTGTTGAAAGAAGCACCTCGTGCCGTTAACTTTCATGTAGTTGCCATTGTTGGTATGCCTGGAGTGGGAAAGACAACACTTGCAAGGCATGTTTATGATGATGACGCGACGAAAGAGTTTAACCTAAAGGTATGGGTATCTGTGTCGGATGACTTCAATCTTGAAAAAGTGACGAAGGCAGTTCTTGAATCCGCCACATCTGGTCTTGCAAAGGAGTTCAAGGAATTCAACCAGGTTCAAGAAAGTTTGAGTAAGGAGCTCGCAGGAAAAAAGTTTCTAATTGTTTTGGACGATGTTTGGAATACATGTGCCTATGATTTGTGGATAAAATTGCAGTCCCCCTTTCATGTTGGAGCATTAGGAAGTAAGATAGTTGTGACAACACGTGATAAGAATGTTGCAAACATGATGGGATCCACTATTTATGAATTGCGTGGCATATCAGATGATCAATGTTGGGAAGTCTTTGAGCAGCATTCCCTCTTGGACATTACAAAAAGGCCGCAAAATTTTGAGTTGATAAAGGAGAAAATTGTTGCAAAATGTCGCGGATTGCCATTGGCTGCAAGGACTCTAGGAGGTCTTCTACGTTGTAAACAAGTAGAAGAATGGGAGGAAATCTTAAACAACAAGATGTGGAGTCTATCAGACAATAGTGGCATTCTCCCAGTATTAAAATTGAGCTATCACCATCTACCTTCAAGTTTGAAACGGTGCTTCGCCTATTGTTCTCTACTTCCAAATGACTACGAATTTGGGAAGAAGCAATTGATCCTTTTATGGATGGCAGAAGGTTTGATACAACAACGAGTAGAGGGCAAGAAACAATTTGAAGAAGTAGGCAGTGACTATTTTCAAGAGCTATTGTCTAGGTCATTATTTCAAAAGGCAAGCAAAAGCACTCATAAGTACATAATGCATGACCTTGTTGGTGAGTTGGCGCGGTGGGCTGCAGCTGAAATATGCTTTTCATTGGAGGACAAGGGAAATGATGACTTGCATCCAATGGCTCGTCATGTGTCTTATGTCAGTGGTAAGTATGATGGGGTTAAGAAATTTGAGGCCATCTCCAGAGTTAAACATTTGAGGACATTTTTGCCATTTGCACCAGATTTATTTTGGTTTCGAGCACCAAACTATCTAACTCGTTGGGTTACATGTGATCTGTTGCCGGAACTGCGAATCTTACGGGTGCTTTCTTTGAATGGCTATAAAATAACTGAGCTGCCCAATTCAATTGGTAAATTGTGGAATCTACGGTATCTCGACCTTTCTTACACACGGATAAAGAGTTTGCCTCCATCAACAACCACTCTTTGCAATCTACAAACATTGTTATTAGAAGGTTGTGATGAATTGAAGGCATTGCCCGCAAACATGAGTAATCTAATTAGTTTGCGGCATCTCAACAGCTCCATTGGATTGGAAGGAATGCCTCCGCATCTAGGTCAATTGACGAATCTGCAATCCTTGTCGTATTTTGTGGTAGGCAAAGGTAGTGATCAGTCTGGGATAAGAGAGATAGGGTCCCTATTGCATCTCCGAGGGACATTGTGCCTCTCCAGATTGGAGAATGTGGTTGATGCTGAGGATGCTAGTGGGGCCAAGTTAAGACACAAGGAGAGGCTTGATTCATTGCTGCTG